TTGTGATTGTAAAATCAGGCAACACTTCATTCCATAAGATAGAATAAGTGTTCCAATGAGCTGAACAGAGGAAGTTGGTTTTATAGACAGATTAGGCTGAAGAGAAACAAAGAACAAAAAGCAGATTAGTGGGCCGGCCCGGTGGCGCACTGCTGTAGTGCGCCGCTTGGGAAGCGCAGCGGCGCTCCCACCGAGGGTTCGGATCCCACATACAGACCGGTTCCCGCTCACTGGCTGAGCGAGGCGCGGGAGCAACGCCAAGGGTTGCGATCCCGTTGCCTGTCCTGGTCCGGTACGGGGGCGACACTGAGGGTTGCGATCCGTTGCCAGACACGGAAAAAGTCAAAAAAAAAAAAAAGCAGATTGGTCCTTCCAAAGTTATTTCTTTGTACAAAAGATAAAAACTGGGAGACAGAACAATAGTAAAATAATTGCTTATTTAACATCAGGTTACTTTAGGCTGCCCTTTCTGTGTAAGGATTAAAGCAGAGGGAATTTCATGATCATGCCTGTTGGAGAGTTAAACTGGCCTATTTGGGGGGCTGGCTGGTTTGCTCAGTTGGTTCGAGCACAGCCTTGTAATACCAAGGTCACAGATTCAGTTCCCCATGCCAGCCATAAATAAATAAACAAACAAACAAACTGGCCTATTTGGGAAATTGACTGTTCCCTCTTCCTCTTCTAATTTCTCAGAAGGTTAGACCACAACTTAGTTTAGTTTTGGTGATGTGAAATTTAGCAGGCGTGACTCCATTTTTATTTTTAGTCTAGTCTTTTGGGGCCTGCTGCAGGAACTTAGTACAAAACAATGGCCCCCTATGATTTTTATTTAACAATTTCCCCACCTATGTAGCCAGAGACATTCAAACTGCAAACCAGGATGAGAAGTTGCTAACTTCATGCTGTGAACAGCTTTTCTCAAGAGTGTTACTACCATAATGAGACTCTGACCCTCTTAATATCTCCTTATTACGCCTTCCTCTCTCACTTGGTGGACGGCCTCGCTGAGAGCATGGCCACACTTAGGGCGTCAGTGCTCCCCCGGCCACCGTCATTCTGAGTCCCCAGTCCCAGCACGCCGTTCCCTCCATTCACAGGTCAAGGTGTCTTCGTTATCATGCGTTTCTTCGAGTCTGTTGCTTCAGCCCAGTTTTACCATTTGACAAGAGACCATTTGATGTTCAATGGCTGAACAAAACATGGAAACCTTTCAAGAGAACACAGTGCACTGGGGAGACTAGTCTCATGACTCTCAGGAGGACAATACCAAGAGTTCGGAGCATGCTCCTTGGCCAGTGTCCCCATGAACCAAACCAACTAAAAGTGAATAGGCAGATGAGG